GGGGGGGGGGGGGGGGGGGGGGTGAGAGGCCTGACCACTTGGCCTCAAAGTTTGCCAAATGGATGCCCTTGTCAGAAGTACCATGTGAGGGTGTATTGGCCAGGTGGCCAACTTAGATTAATTCAAACAGTTTAACCCTACATATGAGACAGTGACTGTAGAGATGCTGCAGTGTGTGTAGAGTTATCTTACCACAGAAATGGTAAAGTAAAAGTATCCCTGTAACAGGCCGTGAAGGCCCATAGGGTTGTGAGATGTTGAGGTTCCCATATTTTCTAGACAATCGGCTCATAGACGGCGGCAAGGTTGTCAGCCCTACGTGCCGGCTGCCCTTTACCTGCAAGAATATTCCTGGTACTCATTTCTGTTAGAGGCTGAGTCAACCCCAGGGCCATAGTGCAGCTGGAAAGATTAGGTCAATTGAAAAAATCCAATGACCTCATCAGGACTTGAACCCGCGACCTTCCAGCTTGTAGCATAGTACCTCAACCAACTATGCTACCGCGTGCCCCCTAAATGGTGCACACAGAAATTCACTTGCAGAAGGCCTCATTAGAGGTTTCTTTGATGATGACCATGAATAATAATAATAATAATAATACCAGGAAAGCATTCAGTAGTTTCTGTATAAAAGCCAGCTCTACTAGTAATGTCACAAATATCAGAAAGGAATAAATCTTGAAGCCTGAGTGCTAGGGTTCCGCAGTGGTTTGAAAGGAGAAGTGCCAGGGAAAACCCTTACGATTTTTTTTAATTCGCATAGTGTAGGCTGGAGTCCAGTTTGGTCCACTCGGCACAGCAGCCACTGATTGGCCTATTGTACTTGCCCCCAGTGAGTATGATGATGGAGAATTTGGTTGAATGAAGATTGGCAGGGGAAACTAAAGTACTCGGAGAAAACGTACCCCAGCGCCACTTTGTCTACCACAAATCCCACTTGACCAGACCCACGTTTGAACCCGGGCTGCCGCAGTGGGAAGCCAGCGACTAACCGCTTGAGCTATGGCGTGTCCTAAACCTTTGTGATAAGGGAGCAGGAGGGGACAAAAGGAAGAAGATGGTACATATAATTGTTAACGAAATATGGCATCTTTCTAGATTACACTGTACGCTACATACCACATGTTGGGCTCCTGAATAGTAAATAGTTGCTGCCCTGCTCTGTATATGCAGTCTCATTGTAGCAAACACCAAACTGATTTTCTTCTTAATTTAAATGCAGCTTTCCATATGAACTGAAGCACTCTCTGCTTGGTGTGTTGCAGCACGGAACATCCTGCAGCATCTGAATGTATCCAACTTTGAGATGTGAGTTCCTTGTGGTAAGTTCCTCACTCCTGTTACTGCTATGTTTCAGATGTGAGTGCCTTGTGGTAAGTCCCACAGTTCTAAGTCAGTGTTGTTCTGGGTGCAGGTTCATTACATTTTAATGTATATTTTTGTATGTATATATGTGGCACTGTGCATTCAACAACTTCATGTCATTACTGCAGCTTGGTGTCATCTTGTTATATATATACAGTTATGTGGCACAGTGGAACTGCCTGCACACAGCACACATAACTCAGTTTCACTGTACATTTCCATGATTGCATTTGGTTTCAATTTGTAAGTACAGTATGGCATTAAGTATTTGCAGTGTTCTTCTGAAAATGTAAAATATAGTCCCTTTTTTTTATGATTGGCAATTCTACATTTTGTGTCACTTGCCCACTGTCACTGCTTCCAGAGATCCCACTGGTCCATCAGATGTCTTATCAGATTTAATTCTGATATCTAGGCTGAAGTGTTATCATGTTACATGTGTTTTGCGAGGCTATAAATTTGATCTTTATTTCTAAACATGCAGAAGTACCCATACTTTGGCCAGGATATTGATGCTTTTCCTTGTCAGTATCACAATACACTGTAGCTAAAGCCTTTTTTTTTTAATTAATAGCATATTTACAATCTACTCTCAATAATATGGAGTAATAAGTAAATTTGTTCTAAGTAAGTGTCTTGAGTACACCTATTTAGAACCTATTAATTAAATAATAATAAAGAAAAGTTTTACCTAAAAAAATTTAAATTCACATAGTGGGGGGGTGGAGTCCAGCTGGGTCCCCTTGGCATGTTGGCCACTTATTGGCCTATTGTACCTGCCCCAGGTGATTATGATGATGGAGAATTTTGTGGAATGAAGATTGGCAGGGGAAACTGAAGTACTCGGAGAGAACCTGCCCCAGTGCCACTTTGTCCACAAATTCCATTCGACCAGACCTGGGCTTGAACCCGGGCCGCCACGGTGGGTAGCCAGTGACTAACAGCTTGAGCTTGGCGTGGCCAAGGTTTGCTTTGAAGAAGGAACAACACTTGCATGAAGGTAATGGGTAACCATATAATTAAAAAAATAAATTTGTTGGTAAAGAGGATTTAAGTTGCATCCAGAAATGAAGAGGACTGTCCTCTGGGATGTGACACCATGTAGTCTGATAGATAGTTGCAACATTTTGGAGGAACCTGCTGCATCCATTATCAGGGCGGAAGATGTGAGTCAAGCAGGGAATATGGTAGGTAACATACGGAAATGAGGTTCAGGGTGAGGATGAAATGGCCTACTGACTTCCATTGGCTCACATCCAGCCCCATTCCTTGTATTACATACCATTTTCTCCACTTGACCAACCTGTGTCATGTAAATTGAGGCAGCAGGTTCCGCCGAAATATTGGTAACCGTGTACCAGACTGGATGATGTCAGAACCCACAAGGCTGCAGTTGTAACTCCTGATGTGTCTTAAATAACAGCATTGATATAAAGAGACTTCACAAGTTATGTCCTTTAGAATGGTTCCCTTGGGCACCTATGCAGTGCTGCATGTTTTCCTGCCATGCCTGGGGACAACTCTGAAAATCAATTTTAGAGCCCTTTCAGCAGCACTGTTGTTTTAGTGGATTGAAATTGTGTCCCTTTCAGTGAATGTTTGAAAGGTTGTGTGGAGTGAGCTCTGGTGAGTGAGGGGCATGAATCGGTACAGGAACTTGTTTCCTTGGCCTGGTGCAGATTCTATTCAATAACTCCCATGTCTTTCTTCAGTTGTTTCTCTAAATTTTGATAGAAGCAAAATATAATTCTTATGAGTTGTGATTTGACCAGGTGGGATGTACTCAGTCATAACAGTTCCTTTCACATTGAAGAATACAACTAACATTGCCTTGATTTAAGTTTTGACATTCTTGGTTATTTTGGTCTTGAAGAGTAAGTGTAAATTCCCTTGCACTGATTGCTCTTTGGTTTCTGGGTCATATTGAAACGGCCAAGCTTCAGTGTGGATGGGCACACTGATCAGAAGTCTGGATCATCGTCCTTGAGATTATCTAAAATGTCAGCACAGGTTTTTCTTCTTTTCAGTTTCTCTTCTTCCTCTAAATTCTTCAGTGCCATCTTTTCGCAGACTTTGCTTCTTTCAAATTTTCTATTATAATTTGTCTTGCTGTTTCAATGTTTCTGCTATCATTCCTATGCTCAGATGGTGATCATCTTGTACAAGAGTCTTCACCTTTCCATGTTCTTATTGGTTTTCACTGTCAGTGGACAACCAGGACATTTATTTGTCATCTTCCACCTTGTTTCTTTCTTCTAAAAACTTTTTATTCCATTAAAAATCATATGCCATTGATAACGGAGCTGGGATAGCGTAGTTGGTACAGTGACTGGCTATGGGCAGGACAACCAAGAGGTCGGAGTTCGAGCCCCTGTAGGGTCAGGAATTTTCACTTCTCCATATCATCCAGACCAACTCTGAGGTCCACCCAACCTCCTATACAATGGATATCGGGGGCTTTTTCCCGGGTGTAAAGTGGCTGGGGCATGAAGCTGACCACTCATCTCCAACTATTACTGAGGTCAAGAAATGTGAATCTAAACATCCACTCCCCCATATGTCTTAACGCTTAATTAGTTAAGCACAGGGACAACTTTACTTTACCTTTTACCTTATGCCATTAAAATTATGGCTTCTTCATACACCTCAACAATTATATGTTTCAGTGGCATTTTTCATGAGTTATTAAAAGTATGTTGCTAACTCACTGTTCACCTGTTATACCTGTCATACTTCCAATGCACAGTGAAATTCTTCACATGGACCTGTTTGACTGTACTGTAAGCGAACATGTTGAAACCCACTGCAGCAAACAAGTAGGGAAATATGCCAGATTAACAGCTATTAGTTTGAGAGATGTGTATGCTGCCTCATTATTTAATAGCCATACCTCGTAATCACTGCTTTGAGAACCTCATTATGCTGCTCTTAATTTGTCTGGATAATGGGGAACTAACCATCACATGAGGACGTTGCCGCTGAATGTCTGGTTACGCTGCATTGCCAAGAAAAAATGAGAGGTACAAGTGAAGTGAATAAGTTAAGTGTATTTCCTTCTGTGATCACATGCACTCATAGTTACACAGGAGACCCGTCATTTTGGCACTTGTTCAGTCATTCAATTTGGAACTGTGGTTATCAGGAACTACTTAAGATTCTTGGTGATCCAACTCATGAAGTGTGTGACACGGGTGTACACGCCAGGGAACTGTCCCTTTCCACAGCCAATACCCCAGCTCACAATGCCAACTTGCATCCAGCGGCCCTGGTTGATCATCAGTGGCCCTCCACTGTCTCCCTGCACCAATTATGACAATAAATTAAAGTTCAAACCTCCCAAAATTCAGGAATGCAGTCTGTAAGGGGCTGTATAATAGGTATCCATGTTCTGTGAGCTCCACACCAATATGCAGCGGAACCCCCATGTAATGTTCTTCATTTTAAGCTTTCCCCTCATTTAACATTAAATTTCAGTAACCCAAGTCTATAATCTTGGTAATAAATTGCTTTAATATAAGATTTTTTCTCAGTTTAATATCCAAATTCTTTGGTTCCAAAAGAAACCTTAAATGGGCATTTGGCTATACATACATACAAGAACAGAATGTAACTTTGTATTCTCAGTCTATGCTTTAGTTAGTCTTGTTTAGATCAGTAGTTCTCGGAAAATTATCTGCATTTTGTTCACTAGAATATGTCAGTTTGAAAGGGTTCTGACAATGGTTTGTTAACACTTCCACTTACTGGTAGTATTTCCGTGTTTTTGGGTTTTGTCCTCTGCCTTGATACTCCAAACAGAACACATTTTGTAAGCTGAACTGAGTTACAGTTACAGTTCACTACTGTTATTATCCGTCTGTGTATACTGTGCCGCTGCAATAAATCCTACAGGACAGTTCAACTTGTGGTTGTCTCTTCATATGACATCCCACATGTTTCCATCCTCAGGTGAAAAGGTGGGGATGTGCATACTCAGATGGGTCTATGAGAAGCAGCCCAAATCAGTGACTAGATGTGAAGGCGTGCATATGCTGGCACCATACCAGTTGTATGTACTGATTGTAGAAGGTTCTGATGTGGGTATGATACAGTTAATATTACTGGGTTTCTGGATTTTGTCCACATCCTGGTACTGAAAATGAACTCAATATTTGGGAAATTGGTCTAGTGATTGAGATCACCTCTTTCTAGTGGACCCAGATGTGCTGGTGCCTCACCACTCTTTCACCCGAGGACAGAAGCGGTTTCCAAGCTGTTTTGTTGTGAACAGTGGTCAGAAACCAGATAATTCTAAGCAGTAGAATGCAGTGAAATAATGTAAATGTCTTATCGTTAATAAATGTGAATACTGCCCTTGTAAAATGAGTGCCAGAGAGCAGGTGCAGAGAAATGTAGGATTTCTATGGCAAGTGCCTAATTTGCAGTCCTACAGTCATTCAAGGCTGTCATACTAAAATGCCCTTTTACTTCAGAATTTTAGTCTTATGAGACTGTGTCATTTGTAATTACAACTGATTTTAAGTTTCTTGCTGATTTAGAATAGCCTTAAAGGTACCTACACACTGGCATTAAAAATGTGGCTTTTCTCACAGTAAAGCCATTTGACCCCTCTAAAAACAGTTTGATTTAGATAATGAGATGTCATTGATAAAGTTGTTGCATACTTACACTACATGAATCATGTCCATTGTCTCCAGCACACAGGAAGTGCTCCACAATGCCACCTGGTGCTGAAGGGCCATATTTGGATCGGCAGGCATCATTGGTCCAGATCAGAACATTGACTTCCTGTAGTGTGTCAGGCTGGTGGCCCCCTGCAGTGGAACAATGCCTTATTAGGATGCCTGTGTATCAGCCCCTAATTTTGGGGAGGGATGAACAGACAACACATGTACCCACCTTCCCTCAGACTGCCCCAGCCTATTACAGTTCCTGTTGTCCCTGAATAGAGTGCACTGCCTGTTGGGAGACAGATCGGTCGCACCTGTTGTGTGAAGGTGATTGGTGAATCCATTGTTAGAATGGCAATGTCATTGTACTGAAACACAAAGTGATGCCTAACAGTTTATGTTAATGCTGACAGACTGTCTTTGTTTTATTACCTCAGGTAATGAGACAGAATTCTAAATAATGCAGTTGGAAGAAAAATTGGAGTTAACAAAATTATATGATACTGACACATCCAGAGGATGGCAGACAACAGAAGATGGCCCAAACCCGTGTTCGAGTGAATTCCTCCAAGGAAGAGAGGAGAAGGAAAAGAGGAGACCGTGAATTAGTTGGATAAAGAGGATGTCTGATCCAGTGGAAGTGAAAAGATTGGAAGGACAGTGAACGAAGAGAGAAGAATGATGACTCTGGATCTGAAAACATCATTGATGTCAGTAAACTGCTAGGCTTTCACATGATACATATTTGCTGCTGTTTGAAGGTCATTTGCGGAAGTAATGTGCAACTACTCGTACATTTACACTCAAGCACTTTTGGCATTTTTAGAAAGTAGTTTAATGTTTGAGCTTGTCTGTTGAGCGGTTAAATCTAAACGGAGTGAGGGCTGTGCCATTTCCAGGTGCCTAGCCTCCAACTGCCCACCACAGTAGCATGGGTTGGATCCCAAGTCAGCTCTTGTGGGATTCTGGTAGACAAAGTGGCACTAGGGCCAGTTTATTATGAGTACTTTGATTTTTCATGCCAATTCTCACTCCACCAACTGTACCAAATTCATCAATCATTCTATCATCCAACACTGTTTACTTTCAACAGCACTGTTAAACAGCCAATTTAAATGGTATAAATGGAGTGATATTATGAACTTCAAAGATGCTTCATGCAGGATCAGTGAGGCCTCAACATTGCTAATATCAAGCCCCACTATTGGACACAATCCTGAACCAGTTCCATTGATTTCACGCCCTCAGAATGTATTTCCATGGGACTTGAAGCTTTCCTAGTGAAGAGGATAATATTGAGCTGCGTCCCTTTGAAGTCGAACGTTTCAGAGACCTCTGTTTCCTACGTCAAGGATTGGCGATGCAGAGATGATGTTGAAAATTACTGGACTTTGATTCCAAACTGACATGGCTGTCACCCAGGAAAATTCATTTTAATGTTTTTTAACATATCCTTCAGAGCCTTCAATGTGGTCACTTCATAAGAATATTCCCCCGCAAAACTGTGTATGCATTTATCTCTGCTGTCCAAGCTACATGCCCAACCTCTCTTGCAAGCTCTAGATGAATTGTGTAAATTCACAGAAACCCTTGATTATCTAATATCCTACAGCCTTTTTCGAGGTTTTGGCAATGTATTGTCCTGAGTGCTTTGTTTTCTGAGAGATAGAATTTATATTTCCTCAACATTGGATTTGACATTCTCACAGCAGTCACTATGAATAGAACAGCCTTATGGGTTTTAACACCATGCAGTTCAGAGAGAACCTGATGTTTTGGAGGAACATATCACCTCCATTTTCAGGATCAAGGAGTAAGCCCGCTAGCGGTGTGCTTTGTATTTAGTTGAGTCCATAGGCCACGCCATAGCTCAAGTGGTTATTCGCTGGCTTCCCACCGTGGTGGGCCAGGTTCGATCCCAGGTCTGGTCAAGTGGGATTTGTGGTGGACAAAGTGGCACTGGGGCAGGTTTTCTCCAAGTACTTCGGTTTCCCCTGCCAATCTTCATTCCACCAATTGCTCCACAATCACCCTCACCTGTCATCTTGAGCTGGTACAATAGGCCAGAAGTGGCCGCAGTACAAGGGACTTAGTCCCACCCCACTGGAATAAAAAAACTAGTTGAGTCCATTAACTGAGGTAAGGATTGTTGAGTGTTTGGGTTATTACAAGGCATTGGTTACAGTTCATCATCGTCCTTTCCTCCCACAATGCGGCTGCAGCCACTGACCCACTACTTCTTGTTGTACTGTTTTTCCTCACTTCAGCGCAGAGGCCAGATCTGAAAATGACCTGTACTTAAACAAATGAAAATAGAGAATGTTGTGAACTCAGTATGAAGGGTAACATAAATATGCAATGGTGGAAATAAATTAGCAATCTAAAGAATGACATTTTTATGATTTAGTTAGGCTAGAATCAAGAAATGTTTCTGCTGTGTATATTATACTGGAAGTTGTAACATTGGTGGTAAACCCTACTGGAATACAATATTTGAAGATCTGTAGCATTGTCTTCTGGATTACTACACCAAGTAATCTTTATGATAAAAGGTGTAGGCAGTACATTCGTCCAAAATGTTTACCGCATGATGTTGTAACCCACAATTCAGTGAACTTTTTGAAATAATACCTGATGAACTGAAGTTTACATTGGTACCTACCAGAGTACGTGAGTCAAAGCCACGATGCCGTACCACCCGTTTCACCCTCTTCTCAATGTGGCGCACCTCAGAGCTAATTTTTATATTGTGGTCACCAAGTCGCACTGTCAGACGTGCTACATCCCACGAACTCATGCTGCAACACAATTAACTTTGTGTCTATGATTCTGTATCTCATAGCTCATTGATATCTGGCTGGGAAATAGATGTCTCTGCCCACTCCCTGGATTTTTTAAAAAAATTGAAATTGAAAAAGGAGAAATATACCAAACTTAAAATTATTAAAAATGTATATATTAATTTAATTTGAATACAAGCTCAATATAAGAAATATATTCTTAAATGGATTAAATGTAAATCTACAAACAAATTTTCTACCTGCCCTCCTCAGGAGGAAATCTTAACAGTGCCCATAAATCCATGTCATTATGCCAGAACAATTCCCCTCCTGCACGTATCTCCAAAGAAAATTTGCTGTACAATTGTATTCATGTTTTCTTGGTGAAAATTTGAAGAAAGATTTCCAGAAATGTTTAATTTTGTAGTCCAGGAATAGATATTTAAAATCCCACAGTTTTGCAAGCTGACTTTCCAGATATTAACTCTGGCATAATGGTGTTAGTACTGGCAAAGTGAACACTCAGCCATCTGAACTGTCTTCCTACACTATCATAATCCTGCATTTTGTGACCAGTACAGGCAAATATATTGACTTTCTATTTATTTAGATAATTGTAGAGTAATAAATTTTGTATACTTGATATGTGTAAAACATTTTTATTTTATTTCATCATTAAGACGAGATGCACATTGTATATAAGAGAAAAGAGAAAAGTTAAACTACAGTAAGGAATCTTTATGGTTTTCATCCTGCTATGTATTTGATAAACAAGTGAATGGGTATATCAACACAAATATCTTTAAATGAAGACAAAAATGGACACTGTTGTATCCCTGTTGACTGCCTCTGTGGTCTAGTGGTCAGAGTTCCTGGCTACAGATCCAGAGGTCTAGGTTAGATTCCCAGCACTACCAGATTTTCTGAGAAGTAATGTGTCTGGAACTGGGTCCACTCAACCTCGTGAGGATAATTGAGGAGCTATTTCAAGGAAATAGCGGCTCCGGTCTATAAAACCGAGGTTAACGGCTGTGGGGATCCGTTGTGCTGACCACGCGACACCCTCCATCTGCTAAAATTGGCACTAACTTCGCCGACAACTGGCGGTCGCTTGGTCGGTATAATTCGCTTGTNGAGGAGCTATTTCAAGGAAATAGCGGCTCCGGTCTATAAAACCGAGGTTAACGGCTGTGGGGATCCGTTGTGCTGACCACGCGACACCCTCCATCTGCTAAAATTGGCACTAACTTCGCCAACAACTGTCGGTCGCTTGGTCAGTGTAGTTCGCTTGCGGACTACAGGCCACGGAGTTTGTTTGTATTCATATTATTTATTGTGTAAAGGTGATGCAGATGTTTCAGCCTTTCTTAGGTCATCATCAGGTGTTACAAGAAAATCAAACCAAGTTCTGGAATTGTCTTAATATGGATCTGTATTATTATTTGTTGTCACCTTTACATAATTATGTAAAGGTGAGTGTGAGGGTCCGTCAACACATCTTCAAATGAAGACAAAAATTGATACTATCATATCACTATTATTTATTATGATAAATAATAGTGATATGATAGTATCCATACACATTTACAGTAAGGAAGTGAATAAAACGTTCTGCCAAGTTGCAAGTGACAAAGTGACGAACGGTGCTGCATGTCACACTTTGTGGTCACCCCAAAACCTTCCAATAGAAACCTTTCAGGCTACTTACTGAGCCACACAGTGGGCTGCAGTCAGGATATGCGTGCTGTCAATCAGTGAGCCGCCACAGAACTGTCGCCCACCATTGAACAGAGCTGCCTGATGTTGTAGCCGCATCGAGGAATTCGTATGTGAAAAGTGTTAAAAATCAATTAATATAAAACAAATCACAACATCAAGATTAATAAATCCACATTGTTAGCCTACTTTCCTTATTTTTTAAAAAAATTAATGTAGGCTTATACAGTCTCCATGCCGTCTGTGTGTCTGTGTATCCCCCCTGTTAACTTTTGAATGCCTGAACCATTCTTTATGAAACTTGGTGTGTATATCATGGCACCGGAGTCTGTCTCGATGGCATACTTATAAATCCCCCTCATCAGTTTGTGTGTCTGTGCGTGTATCCCTCATCATTGCTACTTTTCTACTATGCTGGATGTTTGAAACATTCTGTCAAGGTCTGTTTTACACTGTAGAAAATTTTTGATTAGTTAAAGTTGTAGATTGTTTCAGATGTTCTAACCACAGAGTTTCATCACATTCAGTATACTTCCACTTTTGGGGCAGTGTAATTCTACTATAAGGGTTATAAACTAGAAAAATTAACACACTGCATTCTGTAATAATGAAGCTTGTGAGGTGATTATGTAATGGTGTTTGTTCAGAAAAGGCAGGTTTGATCAGAAAGTAACAGTTGCACTACATTACCATTATGGTCTTCTGGGATGTGGCGCCATGACTACACCAGCCACCACAATATGATATCCCAGGATACTTTATTTGTACTGCTGTGACATTAGATTCCCTGAGCTTGGAAGGTTTCTTGTCCTTTGACAAATATTACTGACCATTACCACTTTCTGGGGAACGGTGACTAACATTCAGTAATTTCTGTTGCTGTAACAATTGAATAACTTTGGTTACAGTGTGCTAATATTTTGTCTCTCCATCAACAGATGGCCGGCATTGGTGTTATGTGGTCTTTCTATCATCAAAGTTTGTATTTTATTTATTGATATGTATCAGAAGGGAGCCAAAATTCAGATATTTTCTGTGATCATACTGCAAATCATGAACTTTCTACTACTTTCATGTGGGTGCAAGAGTGGACAGGGTACCATCTATTGAAATTATGAAGACCCTAATAACAATGTGATTATGAAGAAGTACATAAAACAAACACATACATGTTAGTAAAATTGAAATGTCAATTCTCGTTAGGTCTGCAGTAATGTGTATTATCAGTGCTGTCCATTTTGGATGTTTCGAGGTTATGATACACATCATGTTTCCATGAATCATAATACTGTCCTCACAGGACCTTACCATGCAAACGTGTTATTTGTGTCTTGTTTTCAAAGCTGGGTATAATATTTTAATGATAATCAAATATTTTCCTACAGCAATTGAATTAGAGAAAGTTACTGGCAGCTTTCACATAAGATCATTGGAAGAGTTAGTTTTGTATTATATCCACCGGTACAGGCTTGTTTATGTGTGGATGGAAACGTTGAAAGAGATTCAAACATCGCTTTAAGCATCTCTGTTTGCGCCCTCCTTGAGACTTCTCTGAAAAGTGGGACTTTTTTGCAGATAAGTGAGTCATATCCAGATGTTAGAGGGCTTCTAACTTGGTTTTGAGTCTCTCCAAACAGTATCAGTGTCGTGTACTTACAATCCATGGCCACTCTCCCAGCTCCGCGTTGTGCCCACCCACAATCCGTTCCTGCTCCTGATTGCCATTCTTTGCGCCGCATGATGCGTCTGCTATAACTGCTGGAACACTGGCCTCTGTAGTAGGAACAGGAGGGTGTGTGGGTACAGGAGGATGTGTGGGTACAGGAGGATGTGTGGGGGGCCACGGTGCCGGAGGCTTAACAGGAGGAGGTTTAGGGGTCGGATGTGTAGTAGGCCATGGTACAGTGGAGGGAGGTTTGGGAGTCTCAGTTGTAGAGGTCGTAGTGGGAGAGTCTGTATTGATGGGTAAGCCAGGCCACCCTGGGGAAGGGGGATGTGTTGGCAGGGGTGGGATAGTATGGTCAGGTGGGTGCGTTGGAATAGGGGGTGGCCAATTTGGTGGAATCGGATTGGGGCTTGGTACTGCACTGGGTTTCTCTTCTTTCCCGTCTTCTGGGATCTCTGTAGAGGGTTGAGTGGGTCGCGGTGGCTGTGTGGGCCGTACTGTTGCTGGGTTCGTACAGCACACACCAAACATCTGCAAAAATGACAAGCTGTGACTGTCTCATTATCCCTGTCTTGATTTGAGTCTATGATGAAGGTTCCTCCATAGCTCTGCCATCTCGTCTAGTCAAGAAATGCACCACCCTCCATGAAACCAGGCTGTTCATATTAAGGAGAATGAAAGCACCGTGTTTTCCCCTAGTTATTCTGACATGCTATGCTGCCTGAAGTTACATATACCGTCCTTTTTAGCCTTTGCGCTGATCTAATACAGGGATTCGGTCACTTGTTGATGCACTGCAAACACCCACCCCACCCCACGATGCCTCTGGTAAGGGGCCGGCTATCATTATGGAGAAGAACAGTGGTGCCAGTGTACTGAACTGTGGCAGTTGAGAGACCCGAACTCCAAGTAGCTGCAGAAGGTACAGTTTGTGACAATGAAGGAAGTAGTGTACTTCACCCCTCAGGTACCTGCTGGTAGGAACTCTTGATTCCAGAATGGTGCTCCCAGGGAACTGGTATATGACGGTTGCAGCTGGTCTCAATCCAATGGCTTCAGTCACTTCCATATGACCAAGCCAATGGAGCCTCTATATTGCCTCATTACGAGAGCAGATGATGGACTCATCACGAAAATAATCCTTCACACTTAGTACTTTTATACATGTCTGACAACTGCTATGCATAGAGGAAATATCAACATGAGAAAACTAAGGATCTCCCTGTACGTCAAAATCTGGTCAAGAGTTCACTCAGGGTTCGACACTATGACCACATGTTTGCCTGAGGGAGCTGGCTGCAATGCTGCGAGCCAGCTGACCAACGTTACTCTATATAACCTTAATTCCTCAGGTAATTGCGTGTGTTATATGTGACCAGAATCCGGGGCTCACAGTTGCCTTTGGTTCTCATTAACAACTCACCTGTCTGCCTGAACTTGTGAAGTAGCTGCATGTATCGTACATGCCCAGGATCCAGGTCTCCCAGTTACTCAGTTCAGGAAGCTTGAAGTAAGGGTAACACTGCCGGAAGTTCGTACATCGCCCCAGCACGCCCTTGCTGGTGAAGCAAGGCCCCACCGGCAGCACCCCTGGCCACCCCACGAACTGCCTTCTGTCCCGTTGGTCCAGGAATCCCTCATCCTCTGTCTCTAAAAGAAGCCGGCCGTCTCGAATGAAAGCGTCCGGTACGGCTGTAAGCACAGATACATGGTAGCCGTAACTGAATTCCATAATTCGCCTTCAGTTATTCTAATCTCAAGAGAAATGAAGGAATTTAGGAAGGCAATTAAACATTTTGCATGCGTTGTTTAAAAGGTGCTTGAGGGTAAGCCATGCCTTAAATAAGCAGTCAGGACATTGTGGAAGGGTCGGCCCCCTCCGAAACAAAAGAAGAGACTGCACACAGAGTAACAACTGGAGATGTAGGAGCACCTGCCACTCTAGGTACTTCTGCCCTACCGATTGGAAAAGCAGGATGATGGTGATACACCTGGACTGACTGGCACCCCATCAGGGAGTCGCTTGGGAGCAGCGGAAGCGTTGGAGATCAAACACCGCAAAAAAACCGAGCCACGGAAAGGAAGGTGTAACCAAGTATGGACGTCACAAGCACAGCCCTCGGAAAAAAAGAAATGGCGGTACGCCTGTGAGCCATTCGTGACGAATAGCCTTAAGGGCGGAGAAGTTTAGCGCGTAGACCCGTTTCTAGGCAACAATCGCAAACAAACAGGTTCCCGCGCGCAACAGTGGAGGCACTGTTGGGAGCGGTGGTTCATGACGAGGAGTTACAAGCGGGACGAAGTTCAGGAGAAGGTTTTTCTGAAAATAGTCCAAAGGTACATTGAAGAAAGAGGCATGCTTAATGGAAGCCAGTTTGGTTGCACTGACCGTCACAGCACGACACTTCAATGTATGAGGCTTAAGGGCCACATCATCTTAAATGTTAACAATAACATGTCTACTGCTGCTGTATTCTTGGATATTGAAAAAACCTTTGATACAACGAGGAACCTTGGCTTGCTATATACTCGTATATTATCGGAATTAACATTTTCGATCAGTCTAATCAAGCTTATTACCTATTTTCTTTCTTAGAAAAAATTTCAGAGTTTCGGTCGAAGGTGAAATGTCTGCGCCAATGGAATATGCAAGCAAGAGTGTCACAAGGTTCCATTCTGTCACCCACATTGTACATTGTATATACGAGTATATAAATGATACGCCCCCAACACCTGGTGTCTATCTAGGTCTCCTTGCTCATGACACCTGTACGTATATATGCGACAGACCGCAAAGAGGGTTATGTTCTTAGAAAGCTTCAGCCAGGTCTCAGTGCTATTGAGACATTGTGTGAGTGCTGGAACATGAAAATCAGTGAAGATAAGACCTAGTCCATCTACTTTTCTCATAGAATTAGGCCCCCTGAGGCTCGTCTTACATTGAATGGACGGAACATCCCCTTTGTCAATCATGTAAAATATCTCGGTGTAATCTTCGATAAGAGGATTACATGGAGACTGCACACAGAAATGATCGAAGAGAAGACATTCAGAACATTTATTATAATCTGCTCCCTTTTCAAAAGTCAACGTTTAAGCACCAACATTAAGCTAACCCTCCATAAGGCACTGATCAGATCAATAATGACTTGTTTTGAATGCGCTGCAATTTCAATAGATGGGTGTCTGCCATTAATTCCAAGGCGGGGAAATGTCCGTAAGTTGTTCTTGAATAGCAACGATGTTATAGCCAAATATGCACGGATTAGATCGCTCTTTATCATAACAAGCCTCTAAAATTCATTAGTTATTCTAAATGCTTTCCCCTAAATTCTTACTTCCAATTCAAATTTAACGTTTCTGAAATAATACTCGTATAACAAAAATATTTGTGTTCATTTTCGTAACATAGGATATTGGTGGGAAAACCAAAAGGAAAGAGACCACTGGGAAGACCAAGGCCTATGTGGGTGGACAATATTAAAATGTATCTTAGATGGGATGGTATGGATTGGATTGATCTGGCTCAGAATAGGAACCAGTGGAAGGCTGTTGTAAACAGTTGTGAACCATCGGATTCCATAAAATGCTGGAAAATTCTTCAGTAGATGCAGAATTGGCGGCTCCTCAAGAAGGGCTCAGCTCCATGAGTAAGGAAGTAATGGAAGGATATTGCTGGAAATCAGAATTATCCGACAACTTTTAGTGAAGATCCATATTGAATATTTTTAAAAAATAAACTGGTTTAGGCACTGATACATGGTCACAGACTGATGGACAGACCGACGTAAACCATTTTCAGTTCGTATCGAGAGCCAGAAATGTGTCGGAAGGCAGAGAAAGGGCCAAGAGGAAGCGCGAAGATACAAGCAAAGCAGGCAGGTAAATAATCAACAAAGAAATTAGCAAGTAGGAGCGATTGCCTGCAGCGAGGGATGAACGCGTTTTGCGGTGGGCGAAATGTCACATTTTGGCATCTTGAGTATGGAAATGATGAAGTACCGGGGTCAACGCTCTCGGGGCGGGTTTTTCTGCACTGCATACCAGCGGCCGGGGGTCACCGTGAGTCATTAGCCGCCACAGCGTTGCGACGGGCGGGGTAACTGCCCGATTATTTGGCCTTGCCTTGACGGCAGTTAATGAAACCACATGTGCAAATCTGCGGAGACGGACATTCGCTACCGAGGTTGTGGTGTCGTTGGGTTTGGTAAGTGGGTACCAGGTTTTCGACAGAATATGGCTGTCCAATCAAAATCGCAGTTTCACCTCGAAGATGGAGACAGTATCTCCTTCCAAAAGTTGGTTCCGAAATGCTAGACTGGATGGTGTCACAATCCAATATAAATAAACACGACGCTATGAAGACATATGGGAAAGTGGGGGTATAGCTCCCCATTCTTAACCTCGGCTCCAGATGCAGATGAGTGGTCAGCTTCACGTCCCCGATGCTTTTATCCCCAGGGTAAGAACCCTTGGTGCAGATCTAATAGACTCGGTCGGCTCCAGTGCCGGTCTGGATGCTGTAAGAAAAATCTTTGCTCCGCCGAGAAGCGAAATTCTGATCCTCAGCCCACAGCCTAGTCACTATACTAACTGAGCTGGCACTCATTGTGAAAGATTGTGTGTTTTTATATATGTTGAGGTTTATCTAACAACTGCGATGAGAATCTCGGGAATAGTGAGCTTAAGCTGTCTTCGTGTTCTTTTCGTCCCAGCTTCCTGCATGAAGCGCGCAGGGTTTGCCACAACTTTCTGTTTTCGCGGCGACTCCTGCCTGGGCCGGGCGGACCAGATCACCACGCCTACTCGTAGATCCGATCTGGGACCCAGACAGCCTCATGGTCGGCGTCTGACCGGGAATAAAGAGGCTGAAGCGTGATGCTGACCACTCATCTCTACTTTCGAGGTTAAGAGTGTAGGAGAGTTACTGAACGTCATGATGGCTTCAGTGGCACATCTGGTGGTCCCAGGTTCAAATATCGACTCGGAGACCAACTTAAGTCCCTCCGTTCAAATGAAAGGATAACACCTCAGATTATACCTTTCCAGTTCATCAGTCATTCTTCTTTTTAGTCTGAGCTAGTGATAGAAGCGTTAAGTAACTCATAAGCAGAAGTAATAAGAATGTTTGGAGCTTTACTCCCGTACCCAACTTTCATCGGGCGGTGCTTAAGAAAAGAGGCAAATTTGCTTTGAACTTAGGGTGGACTGAACATGAAGGAAACAAGAAATTATGCGTAATTGGGAAATGGAGAGTGTAGGATAATATTAAAATGAATCTGAAATAAATAAGAGGAGTACTGTCTTTTGAGTGGGAACGCTGTGTAGTTCGAAGAGTAAGGTAAACAAGAAATCGACAGGCAGGCGGCAAGCCGTAAGCTGCCTGCTTGTATTTGATGGCTTGGGGTCGATTTCTGATAGGAGTAAGGGATTTTCTCTTTACTAAAGGGCCCGAACTCCGGTCGCGGTAGCCGAGCGGTCTAAGGCGTGCACTGTCTTCGCTCGCTCGGAAGCCGGGATCGTGGGTTCGAATCCCACTCAGGGCATGGATGTTTGTGTGCAGGTAGAGGCCTTGCGACGAGCTGATCACCCGCCCAAGGAGTCCCACCGAATGTGTAAGATCTAGAAAAACCGAAGTGAACGGAGAAGTTCATGGAGATAGGCCTAGGCCCACTGGGGCTGTAGTGCCAAGGGGGGAAAGAAAAGCGCCCGAACTGGCGCTGGAACCCACCCACCCTCCTATTAGTTATTCCCTGGGGAATTTTTCTCCATTTTCTGGAGGGCCTGAGGAAAATGACGTAAATCCCGGAATACCTATCTTCCGAACACGGTCTAGAGCGTTAGCTCTGGTTACAGCTGACAGCTTCTGCCTGTACTGGGAGAATCTAAATGGAGTCCCTTCCTTTAGCCAGAATGTCGCGCGCGCGCACACACACAGAGACAATGCAGTTGCAGTGATCTGCAGCTCAGACCGCCGGTTGTCTTGGATCGATGCCATGTCTGTTTCCGCCACCCCTCCACAGTAATGACTCTTACTGAGATTGAATGGTCGTGCTGCAGGACTTCATGCATCAGAGTCCTTGAGACACCAAGCTACCGAGGGCTCTCTCCCCAGAGATGAAGTCTCCCGGGCGTGAAGCTCACCACTCACCTCCATATGGTGCGAGGTGGAACCATACCTCCACTCCCCCATACCTACTCCTGGACTGGTGCTTAACTGAGGCTTTACTTTTGTCAGTGAAGAAATTAATTGAACACCCGTTCATGTTTATTTGTTTGTTCATTTAACCAAGCTGTCAGTGGCTCAGTCTGTATAGTGTCCAATTTTAGGATAATGAGTGAGTGGGTGATGATTTGGAAATGACGTGAGAGGAAGCGGCCTTGGAATAATGCAAGATACTGTTGCTATATTTGCGTAAAGGGATGAAGACACGTTGGTCTAATGGAGGTACTGTCCGATATTTGCCTGGAGGGACTGAGGAAAACAACGAAACATTAAGACAGAATAGCCGGTGTCTTGGTCCAGAGTCGAAAGCAGCATCTCCCGGATTCGATTCTTGCGCCTTGACGCCAGACCAGCCTCTTGCATCAACATATGTGCACATGGAGCTGTATTATAATGGGCTTTCTCGCGAAACACGAGAGGGGCGGCACGCGGTGTCCGCGACCAGATTTGGGTAACTTGTCCAGAACTTTGAGACTTCAGTTCAAAGAACTGCCGCAGTTGGATGGGAACTGCATAAATACAGGTGTCCGTGAAAGACAGTGACATTCTTGTTACAGTAGAACCTGTCTAAACGGAACCTGCAACGTGCTCCTATCGGAAAGTTTCTGTTGTCCTGTAAAGTTACGTGTAATAAATGGAAATTGACTGTGCGTAGACTGTCAGACATGGTAATACGAGGGTTGGAACCTTAATAGTGGCAACTGTTTATTTACAATTGATACAAAATAGATGCATGTTTCGAAGTTTTATTGTCCTTCAATGTAGTCACCAGCATTGTGTACAACCCGTT